TGCTGCAACACCTCTCAAATTCTTCCGTCAACCACCCGAAATCATCCCGAGGCCCCCGGAACCTCAACCAAAAGCACCAATAACACCTAGTACCTCATTCAAACTTGTAAAAATCCTTAAACCACCTAAACCAACGCCGAAAACTCGAATTAAACAAGGATTTGAGCCTAAGAACTTCTACTTTTATCAAAATACGCTTTCGATCAAAAACCTACCAAAACACGTCCAAATGACCTGAAATTTTGCACACACATCCCAAATGACATGACGGAGCTACTACAACTTCCGGAATTCCAATCCGACCCTCGGATCAAAAACTCACTATCCAGAGGCCGGTGGAGGGCACCAGCCTGAGGTAGGGGACGAGGGTGTCCTAGAGCTGCCCCAGTTGCACCACTGGTGGATCCTGGGAGGGATCCTATTATTGAGAAGTAGGGCGAGGTGCCCGCAGTCGAGCCTACCCCGGCGGACTTCATGATAGAACCAGGCTTNTAATAACAACTACAAAAGACAGAGTAAACACAGAGTAAATACAGTTCAATATCAATGATACCAATGAGGGTCTCCCAGGATACCGTACTGTAGCCCTTTTCTCAACTGTCCAGTGGATCTCCCGGGATACCGTCCCGTAGTCCAACTCATGTACCAAACCGGAGGATCTCCCGGGATACCGACCCGTAGTCCAACCATCAATGTGCAGGGGGATCTATCGGGAATCTAACCCGCAGTCCCAAAGTAAAAGTGCAGGGGGATCTATCGGGAATCTAACTCGCAGTCCCAAAGTAAAAGTGCAGGGGGATCTACCGGGAATCGAACCCGTAGTCCCAAAGTAAACAGACAGGGGGGGCTACCGGAATCCCACATCCGTAGTCCCAATGTAAATGCACAGCCACAACCAGAAATATACCAAGGAATGAAGTACGAAATACAAACACAGATAGTACTAGCCTAGCATGCTTCACGTAGAACAGTCAAAACAAATTAAGCAAATAGGCAATCAAGTCAACTAAACATGCTTTTCCTAATCTAGTACAAGTTATAATTTCAAGTAGAATAAGGCAAGTAAGAAAGAAACTAAATCTCAAAGTAAAAACCGGAATTTCCTCAATCGGCTCAAGTACGCGCTCGTCACCTCACGTACAAGGCACTCAAAAATCAAGTAACAATCCTAAGGGGAAAGGTCCCCCACACAAGGTTAGACAAGCCACTTACCTCGAACCGGCTCAATATCACTAGAAACCGTGCCTTTGCCACGAGTATCCGACTCCAAATGTCACAAATCTATTCAATTCAATTACATATCGTAAATAATATTGCAAACAACTGATTCCGCTATTAAAAATTAAAGTTAGGGCGCGAAAATAGATAAAATGAGCAAAACACCCCTCAAGCCAACGTCTCGAAATCGAATAATTTTCTCATTTTTAGAACCCTCGTATTCTCACGAGTCTAACCATATAAAAATCTCCCAAATCGGAGGTCAAATGCGCACTCAAAACTCAATAGTTTGGTGTATGAAGTTTTACCCCAAATTAACCAACTTTTGATCCTAAATTCGAATTCCAATGATGTATTTAGCTACATAATGATGAAATATAATGAAAAGGGATCAAGGAAACGTTACCCAATGATTTTCTCTTCAAAACCCACTCAAAATCGCCTTCTCCCGAGCTCTCAATCGATTTTCAAACTTATGAAATTAAACCCTCGAAATTGATATTTCTGAACAGTCATTTCCGCTTCTGCGGACAAGGGACCGCTTCTGCGGTCCCGCTTAAGCGGAAAGCCAACCGCTTCTGCGGTTTTCATTAAAAGGGACAGGACCGCATCTGCGATAGCTGGGCCGCTTCTGCGGCTCCGCTTCTGCGGCTTCTGAGGAAGGGGGCACAAGCCGCTTCTGCGACGTCCAAGGCCGCTTCTACGGCTCCGCTTCTGCGGTTCCCAAGCCACAGAAGCGGAAATACCAGAAAGAAAAATACCAGCTGTAGCAATTACTTAGAAATTTCTCCGTTAACCACCCGAAATCATCCCGAGGCCCCCGGAACCTCAACCAAAAGCACCAATACCACCTAATACCTTATTCGAACTTGTACCAATCCTTAAAACACCTAAAACAACACCGGAAGTCCGATTAAATCAAAGATTCAAGCCTAAGAACTTCAAATTCCAACAAAATACACTTTCGATCAAAAACCTAACCAAACCTCGCCCGAATGACCTGGAATTTTGCACACGCGTCCCAAATGACATGACGGAGCTACTGCAACTTCCGGAATTCCAATCCGACCCTCGGATCAAAAACTCACTATCGGACCGGAAACTTCAAAAATTCAAACTTCGGCATTTCAAGCCTAAATGAGCTACGAGCCTCCAAAATACATTCCGAACACGCTCCCAACCCCGAAATCACCTAACGGAGCTAACGAAACCATCAGATTTCCATTCCGAGGTCGTCTTCACACTGTTCCGATTACAGACCATTTTTCAACACTTAAGCTCTCATTTAGGGACTAAGTGTCCCAAAACTCTCCAAAACTTAACACCGAACGTCCCGACATAACAAAATGGCAGAAATGAACTTAGGGGAAGCAGTTAATGGGGGATCGGGGCGTAAATTCTAAAAACGACCAGCCGTGTCGTTACATGAATACTTCAATTCACCAACTTCATAATTTTTCACACAAGTCGTAACAACAAAGTAACCAATTTTAGAAGAAAATTAGAGAGAGATTGATGATTTGGTGAAGAAAAATGAAAGAATGACGAGGTATTTATAGTTGAAAATAGGGAAAAGGGTAATTATAAAAAGTTTGGGGTTAAAACAAAGTTGGGGGGTTAAACGACTATTTTATAAATAGCCAACGGCTAGTTGGGCAGCAATAACGGCTACATTTTAAAAGTGCAACTGTCAGAAATTGAATTGAGATTTTTTTTTTTTTAAAAAAATATATACGCATTCATGCGTGAGCGCGAATTGCTTTTTATACTGAGCTACCCTTATATATAAAGACGGATATATGGAGTACATAAATAACGGATTCAATTGAATCCAATAAATTTAACACCGAGTATAACGTGTGTGTGTGTATGTGTGTGTGTGTCAAAGTACTAAAATATGAATAAATATTAAATATATAATTTCAAAAGTGCAAAAATGTAAGTTCAATATTAAAAATTTTATAGGTCGAACCCATTAAATTAACATTTATGATTTGGCTATACTCACTATGATATTGATAATTTAGACATAATTATTTTGAGAATGAAAAGTTATAGCATAAATTGTATGAGTGGAAGATAATATAATAGGCCATTTTCACATTTGTGAAGGAGAATGAGCCGACGCAACACAGGCATCTTTTTTTCCAAAAATAACAGCTCATACTAAAACAACTATGTCTTCTGTTCTTTTATTTGTTCTTTCAATCATCTTATGTACCATTATAAAGATGCAAAAGATATCCAAAGTAGACATGTTTTTATTGATGCTAATACTTAGAATGGTGACAGGCGGATGCACTCTATGCATTACTTAATACTTTTCGACACAGTACATAAATATATATAGTGGAGGACTTAGATCTTAGCTAAGGTTGTGAGTGCTAACTTTCTTATTACATAATATTACTATCAATCACATAGTATAATTACAACTGGAGTACGATAGTTAAAAAGTTAATGACAAAGACTACGAATAACTTTATCACTACAAAACAACATTGACTTCTAGTCATAAGTCATAATAAGAAACTAAGAGACTTCTAGTCACAATGTCACAACTGTATTTGACGACTTTTTATTTTCTGAAGATGATAATATAAATGCTTACAATTGCAAATATCTTACGCTCTACTTAGCACATGACTAAACAACTATTTTATTTTGATGTAGTTCATGAATAGAAAGCTCGTTCCCTTGACCGGACGGCTAAGATATTTGTTTTTAGTTTGTGTCACATGAGTATCAAACCATTGTGATTGTCCTCAATAATACGCCTTCAATTGATTATGTTCCTAAATAAATTACATAGTTTGCTTCGGGGTCAATGGATGCTCGAGCATCCGACAGGTTGTACGGGACTGAATATGTAAAACTCATTAAATATGAACAAATATTAAATTAAGAATACTCATAATTTCAAAAGTATAAAGAATTTACTATTAATAGTCTTGAAGAATGAATCCATCAAATTTAAATAATCATGAATCCACGTATCTAAAGTTGCATTAGACAAAGAATAGAAGAATCGAAGGATGGATTGATAACTCGAAGGCAAATGCAAGTAAAATAAGTTACTTAGAGGTCGAACGCAGAAGCGGATCCAGGATTTTAGGAAGATGATGCACTATTGCAAAGAGGTGGGCCCATGATATGAATTTTACGTGCTCAACTTTTAGTTCTTACTATTGCACCTATTACACTTTTGAAATTATAAGTTCAAAATATATATTTTAAAATAGTAATTTTCTTACATCTATATCTATACTCCGTGTCGAAAATGTTGAAATCAGTTGAACGCATTAACTATATGATAATCCAAGGAGGGGAGTATTGGTCCACGTGCTCCACGGAATCCCACTACATACGTCCCTTCCAACGTGCCCAAACTCAAAATCGCGAATGATAAGATTCTGTTTCTGCTTTGAATTTGCACGTGGATGGAAATACTATATGTGCAAATAGGGGCGGATGCACCATATAACTATCGAGTTCAACTGAATCTAGTACTTTCGATGCGGAGCATAAATTTATGTGTAAAAAATTACTAAAATTATAATAAAATAGATATGAACACATAAGTTTAAATACTGAGTCCATAGAACTAAAATCTTAGATTCGCCTCTGTATCGAAAAGGTCAATAAAGTTGGAGAAAAAGAGAGAAGCAAAAGAATGATGAGGTTTAGGATTCTTGGGAAGGAAAAAAGGCACAAAGTAAACCAATACACTAGCATACTAACTCATATAAATACCCTTGTGCTCATGATCATTGAGCCAAGCACCTAGCTAACGGATTTGAGTGGTTGGTAAAATTCGTTGATAATTCGAGTTTTTCTTGTAGTGATCATGCAAAGAGGAAGAGACACTTTGTCACTTGCTCGAGTGATAGGAGATGTTTTGGATCCATTCACAAAGTCTATTAACCTAAGAGTGGTTTACAACACTAGAGAGGTGAAAAATGGATGTGATTTGAGGCCTTCTCATGTTAACAATCAACCTAGGGTTGAAGTTGGAGGGGATGATCTTCGCACTTTTTACACTCTGGTATATATACCTTATATAATTTCTTGCTTTATTGTACTAGCTATAGCTTTGACATGCATTACACGTGTCATTCTTTTCCTTGTTCATTTTATCCACATATTTTAGTATACCGTTGAATTGTGTGACCATTCGTCTAAAAGTTTAAAGATGTTAAGTTGAAGTATGTATGTCTAGATAGGAATTCAGAATTTTAATTTCACTGACTATTTGAGCTACTAGGTTCTTTATACATATTTATTACTCTAGCTTTTTAAACACATATACATGGTTTGAGTTAAATTTACTGAGTTCGGATGAAACCATAGCTTATACTATACATATACCTTTTTGCGACCATTTTATCTAAAAGCTTAACCTGTTAAAAAGAGCAATGTTATGTCTTCAATAGATACAATGAAAGTTATTTCTCATGAAAAAAGAATTTCGATTAAATTTAAATATTCTCCTAGAAAATATTTTCTGGAAATTTGGTTGATGAGTGAATAATATCTTTTTTAACAAATTAGATAGTGTTCCGTGAATTTTTTGAACATTTAGGGTTGATGATAATTAAAATCTAAGCATTGTGTGAACCAAGTGATATGAAATTGAAAGTCAAGATATATAATTGTGTCTTGAAAATGACTTCTTCTGTCCATATAAATAAATGAGCGGAGTCAATTTCCCCTCCGATGGAAAGCCATTTTACCTTTTAAATAATATTTTTAATTACTAAACATTCAAAAATGATTTTCTTGTGAAAAGTATTTTTGGTCGAATAACTTTCGTTGTATCAAAGTACCTTAATAAATTTTCTGGTCTTGTTTATGAAGGTTATGGTGGATCCTGATGCTCCAACTCCGAGCAACCCATATCAGAAGGAGTATCTGCACTGGTTAGTTTTTTTTTTTTTTTTGGCAAGTTACATATTTGGTTGGTCGGCCAAAATTAATTATATCCGCTATAGTTAAATACACACACGCATATATATATATATATATATATATATATATATATATATATATATACAGACCTGTGTNTGAAACTACTCCCACCCAATTTGAATGGGTAGTTATTTTTTTTATATATTTATTTTTCGTTTTTTTATATTTAATTATAAGATATCTATATTTATTAATCCAAATAAAGTAACCAATTAATATATACATACATACATACATATATATATATATATATATATATATATATATATATATATATATATACCAATACATAAAAGAATATACCTTTTATCGGATACATATTGTATACGTAATCCCAGCAATTCATAAAATTTGTCAAACATTCTCTCTGATCATCAATTAACATTGTTAGGTTGGTCACTGATATCCCAGCAACCACAGGAGTAAGCTTTGGTAAGTCTATCCTTCATACTAAATTGCTAATCATAATTTTCAGTATACTTTGACCGAAAAAAAAAAATCAGATTTGTTAATCTAGGACAAAGGTAATATTCTACACTATCATTTATCTAATTTTAGTGATAAATTATGATTAGAAAAGTTAAGTATCATCTAATAATTCTTCTATGCATTTACAACTGACATAATATTAGGAAACACTTGTTATGTGTACAATTTTAAAGAAGAGTCTGATTTTAGAACTTATTTAAACGAGATTGGCTCTCAAGGGCTAAAAGTGAAAATTGTTCATAAAATTAGAAATGATACTTACATATGAGTTCTGTCGCTAATCTGTCTTCTCCTTATCAGTATTTTTATTATTATCTTATTCTTTAATTTTATTACTACTTGTATTTATTGCCTTAGTTATCTTATTATTTCTCTTGTCAATAGTTTTTTCCCTTCAATATTTTCATTACAGCTTCTTTACTCTTGTATTTCTCAAATTTGATTTAAAAATACTTTTATTGAGTCGAGTGTCTAACGGAAACAACCTTTTTACCTCACACAAAGTAGTCAGGTAGAGGTAAAGTGTGTGTATACTCTGTTCTCATCAGATTCCACTTGTAGGATCACACTGTGTACATTAATAAAGTGTGTGTACACTCTACTCTCATCAGATTCTACTGGGTACATTGTTGTTGTTGTTGTTGTTGTTGTTGTTGTAGTATTCTTTATCTAACCGTTGTTAAATTAGTTTAGCTTAATAAGATATTTAGCGACGAAATTTATCCGACGCTAATTTCTGTTTTTTTTTAGGCAATGAAGTGGTATCATATGAGTGTCCACGTCCAACAATGGGAATACATCGACTAGTTATAGTGCTATTTCGGCAATCACGTAGAGAGAGTGTGTATGCTCCAGAAAGTCGTCAGAATTTCAACACAAGAGACTTTGCAAAGCAATATAATCTTGGTTTACCTGTTGCTGCTATTTATTTCAATTGCCAAAGGGAGAATGGTACTGGTGGCCGTCGATTAATGTAATATTCGTACATGCAAATTAAATAATTAGTTGCATTCAATAAATAAAAGTGTGGAATAATTTATTATACCTACTTAAGATAGTAGCTAATTTGCTAAAATTTAAAGAGATTGAAAAGTAAGTGGATGCTCTTGTTAGGAGCCTAGGTAATAGTCATCAACTCAAATTGATATATGGGAAAGGTTTATATGCGTATTTGTAGTGTAAAAGGATCCCAAGGAAATATTATTATATATAGAAGTATGCTTTTAATCTTGTTATCAGTTGTGCCTTTTTGTCGTTGTATTCGCTAGATAAAAAAAATATCTTTAAGAGCGAGTAAAAATATGCATGTCTATGATTTTTTTCGGGAGAAGGAATTGACTCCATTATTAGCAAGAGCACAAAAACGAGCATAAAATTCCTTGTCATTGTCAATTTTGAAACCCTCTCTTGTGCGTCCTACGTGAGTTTACTATTAGATTTTAAAAGCTTCGTTAAGGTATTCTCTTAGTTGTACCGAAACTGCACAAGTTTAACACAGTTAAAGGATTATAATAGCCTGTTTGGCCAAGTTTCTTTTTGGCCAAAAGTGCTTTTTTTGATCAAAAGCACTTTTGGCCAAAAATTGAGGTGTTTGGCCAAGCTTTTTGAAGGAAAAAAAGTGCTTTTTAGGAGAAGTAGAAGCGCAGTTTTGGAGAAGCAGAAAAAAGTAGCTTCTCTCCAAAAGCACTTTTTTGAGAAGCACTTTTGAAAAAAATACACTTAGAAGCAGTTTTTTAAAGCTTGGTCAAACACTAATTGCTGCTCAGAAGTGCTTTTCAAACTAATTAGCCAAACACAAACTGCTTCTCACCAAAAGTACTTTTGAGAAAAACACTTCTGAAAAAAAGCACTTCTCAAAATAAGCTGATTTTTGCAGATTGTCCAAACGGGCTATAAGTGTTTAACATAATACATAAAGGACAAAGTTAGACCAATTCCCACACTCAAGGGACAATTTTGGTTAAAAAAAATTACCATACATTAGTGCATGCATCGAATCTGTATAGACTATTAGCATTTATTTTCATGGTGTAAATAATTTTCTTTTTTACTTCTAGATTTAGACGAGCACTCTTCGGGGCGCGAATGTGTATGGGTGAAAAATAAACTTTGATATGCGGTCCACTCAACCGATAGATGACACGTGGCTAGGAGGCACAATCAGCAAAGCAGGTCATGAAGTTGGAAAATAAACATCGAACCAGACTCTACTAAAAAAATCAGGTTTTAGCGACGGATAAATTTTGTAGCTAAATAGAAAAATTCGTCGTTAATCTCATTTAGCGATGGATTAGCAACGGATTATCAAGAAATTCTGCTAGCTACGAGCGTTTTAACTAATTCCATTTTTTTTTTGTAGTGTGACAAACCAAAGATAAGTAAAAACTACCCCGAATGAGAACCCATTAAGTTCAGGATGCATTATATTTTAGACTGTCCGAAGCACTCACAAACATTCAGAACAACTACTCTACGGAAAAGGCAGGAAATCAACATTAATTCATGACTGTTAGTTTGAGTGCCTTTATGGATTACTAAAGCACTTGGTTCTTTATCTTACTCCTTAAACGTGAAGTAAAATAAGCTGTAAAGTAATCACAATAATTTTTACATGGAAAGTCACCCGGCTCAAAAGGTGCAAAAATCACGATCTACTACGTAGGATTTTCAACTTCAACTTCACTAAAACAATGAGCCAAATATATTGATAAATTGTAACTCAATCTAGAGGCGGATTTAGGATTTGAAGGTAGCACGTGCCATGATTTCCTTTAATATATACCTTATAATGACTAATACGGAATTTGTTAGGAACGTTTATTAAGTTTTTTTATTTTATTCGAGTCAAACTAATAGGTATTTTTTATTTGTAAATATAAAAATTACATCACGGATGTAAAAAAACAAACGTAATTAGTATTTAAATAAGGAATCACACCTTTATTATAACAACACAAGTAAAATTAATATTTTTACCAGGAAATTACATCTTTTCTATATATTAAAAATAAATTTAAACAAGTGAGATAACATCTTCACACCAATCAGAATAAGAAAATATAAAAAATATTTTCAATAAATAAATTATACCCCATAAATATAAACTTAAATTAACTACAAGTTTCCAAAAACCAATATCATAAATCTCATATTTTTTTAAGCAATGCTTATGAAATTTTAATCTTAATTTAATAGTGAAGAGGTTTAAATTATATTTAATAACCACATAATAACACTTTTTTTTTTAAAAAGATGATTTTTTTTACCTCAATCCAAAATTTTCATTAAGACCCAAGTTTTTTGCATTTGAAAGAAAAAAATTCATTAATTTTAGATCAAGAGGAATGCTTACTTTATATAATTTTTAAATTTTGGAGTCTCTTTTTTGAGTGTTCTTCACTACTAGAAAATGTCAAATTTGCGACTTATTTCCGACGAAAATAAAGCGGTCAGAATATAGATGGTCTCAAATTTTTTTTTGGACCTAAACGGTCAGAAATTTGCGACCAAAAACACTCGCAAAGAGGAAAAATCTGGGAGACCGGCTAAAATTGTCTTTTGCGACCGAAATGGTCGGTAATTTTGCCACCGAAGCAGTCGTACTTTTAAAATAAATAATTAGTTATTTCGTGCCAGTTCTGACCGTTTTGGTCGCGATTTTAATAATTAATTTAAATTAAATTCAAAATTTCCGACCAAATCTGTCGGAAAAATTAAAATAAATTTAAAAAATTAATTTTGCTAACTACTTCAGTCGTAAATCTGGGAATTCCCAGTTAAGATTTCCGACCAAAGTAGTCGGAAATTAGTCGGAAATTCTGAATTTTTTCAGCAAAATTCTCCTGCATTTTAAGCTACACTAAGTGCAATTCAAAACTAATCATTCGACCAATCATGCAACCTAATATGTGTCACAATTGCTTAAACAATTGAACACAAAAATATCAAATATCAAACTACCAATGTATACAACACTTTCAAACAAGTCTAAAAACATTTATTATAACACATTAAAGTATAAAAACTTCAACCAAATGACATTCAAGTCTAAAACACATAATCCAAGTGTAAACCCAACCAAGCCAAAACCAGTAAAGTCTAAATTCATATTACATTCAAAATTACTACCGATTATCATCGATTTTAGTCTCATCATTGTTAGATTCTTCGATGCTAGGTTGTTTTCCATAGTTTGCCATGAATGTCCGTATTTATTGTTTCTTGAGCATTATCCTATTGTTGAGAAAATTCATTGATTTGCGGCCGCATTGTCTCAATTTCTTCGGGTGAAGCAGAAGCACCACTAAATAATGCGGTTGGCGACTGGTCGATGGCTTCACTCTAAGTCCATAGACTCTACCTTTATTTATTTTCATGAGAAATAAAAAAATATATTTAAATGAGAAAGAGAAGAAACATACAACTTGTGCAAAATAATATTAAAACGAAGTTATATCTAAAAAATTATTAAAATATTTTATACCTTTATTTACTCTACCGGCTGCCTGTGTCCATATCGAAGTCATATCTTCGGGCGTCGGCTAAGAATCTGGCTGAGTTTATTGCCACTCCTCCATTTTTCTGTGATACCCTTCCTGAAATGTTGTTGACAAACATTATATAAACGAATTAATATTAACCAAGAATAAAGGTAGTATTGTTAGAATCTTACATATGTCTCTGTTGCACGTGGTTCGACCATACTTCTCTTGTAGCATCCTCCTCCTCCTCCTNCTTCTTCTTCTTCTTCTTCTCCTCCTTCTTCTTCTTCTTCTTCTTCTTCTTCTTATGTGTCTCCTCAAAGACAGTAGCATGAGACACATCTTCCCCATGTTCCTTTTCCTTTCAAAATTAAAAATATAAGTTTATTACTTGAATCTCATATAAGTAAAGCTAAGTAAAATTTTGTAAATAACTTACCAATCTCAATCGATGGGCCGCAAAACTGATTGAGTCTCAGATGTGCAACGAGCTACCCTTACTTGAGGCTCTATTTGCCTTTGCCGTTTCACTCATCTGCTTCTATTCTTCGATATTCCACTTCACCAATAGTTGATTCCAGATATCTTCACGCAACCACAAAGGCCTGCCCCCAGCTTTCCGAGCAGCAAAATGAGTATCTTTAATCCTGTTCTGAGCTCTCTTCTCAAAATTTTCATTCACCCAATTTTCATGCTTAGGCTGCCATACACGCTTAGTCTGCAATTAAAATAAATGTTAGACGAACACAAGAAATATTGTATGAATTATATTTATTCGTACCTTAAATTGAAATCACATATTCAGTATGATTTGGTATGGAATCTCTCTCTAGGAATTCTATGGCTCATGAAAAAATGGCTCCATAGCTTCCACAGCCATATGTGTGGCTTGAAAGGATGGTAATAACCTGCATTATATATGAAATAAACATTTATTAAATATATTTAGATCTTTTTTCTAATAATTAAAAATTAAAGAATTACTTACCCGCCCCCATGAGGTACGATAATCAATCGATGCATATGATCGTACTCTACAGTCCCACCAGCACACTGTCTCCGTGAAGGAGCAACTGAAGCAGCACTAGTAGATGGGTATGCAACCACCTGAGATCCTCCAATATCAAGTCTAGAAATACTAGGAGTAGATGATGATGGAGATGATAAGGGAGTGGATGATGATGGAGGCACAAAAGATGAACCATCATGCCCGCCCTGGGATGGAATCAATGGTGAGCCATCATACTAACTAGCAAGGGAACGAGGACTCAAAGGTGGCATAGGCTTTATAGTAGTGGAGGCTGAGGCTAAACCACCCTCGATCGGCATGGAATGATACTGTACTGTGCTGGACGGGGGGGGGGGGGGGGGGGGGGGGGGGGTGGGGGTGGGGGGGGGAGGGGAGGGCAGGGGAGGGACTCTGAAAAACTCAGGTGGTAATGCATTCGTCGACTGAGAAGGACGAGGAAAACTAGAAGGAGGACTCATTCTATGCATGTGGAGGAATATGATCACTCGTGAAGGCAAAGTATTTTTTTTCCTTCTTAAATTTTTTCAGTTCTTTATTCTTAGAAGCCGTCTGTGCAAATTAAGTAAAACAAAATATACTAATAAAAAAATCAACAGATAAAAATATAAAGCAATTCTTCTACATATTATAACAATTAAAAAAAGAACATATATAAAGTCCAACAAGATACAAAAATAATATGATATTTATCTATCTTATTTAGTAATCTAAAAAGAGATTTTGCATT